GGTACTTTATGAGCAATGCTAATTATATGCGAATTTAATTGCTCACTTATTCCCCGGAGAGCCACGCCGAGTCGTAGAGACTCTGATGCAGGAGGGTTCTGCTACTGCTCATAGTGCATTTGAGGTTTTCCTTTTAAGATGTTTTTCAGCCAGTTCATGACGAGTGTTTATTATCCGCTGCTCCGATCTGCACGGTTGGCTATGTACGGTGCGAACGAAGTTCAACATGCACACGTACAGTCACGTGGGGGGGGGGGGGGGGTGCGGTTAAACCGTAGCACCCGGATAAAACCCAAAACGCCTTTTGTGCGAAGGGGGCAACGCTCTATCCCGCGTACAGATCGGGGACACAGTTGGCGATTAGTCCACTTGCTGGACTGCCCTCTCATGGCGAGCCAGGGGTATGGCACCTCCTCGACACCACCCACGGGGAGGAAGGGAGTTTCATAACATCTGTGCGGTGATCCACCAACCCCCGCTGCTGCCTCCACAGTGCTAGACCACAGGCGTGCACAACCACCACCACCACCCAGTACATCACCATTGACCTGCCCGCCCGGTAGTTGAAACAATTGGACACGTTTCTTAACCCCCCCTCCACCGCTACCATCCGAAGTCTCTGTCCACCCAGCAGTATACATTTGGTACACAAGTCAGACGATCTGCGGCAGATCGCGTGTGTGGTAGGGTAAAAAGTGTGGGTATACTCCCAACAAATGATCTACGATGTGCGGGCCAGCATGGAGGAGTTATTCCACAGCAGCCTTTAAGAGCCGCGCTGTCCAGAGCGAGCAAGGCATTGCAGGGCTGCGCCTTTACCGTTAACATCATCATCATCATCGTCGTGGTACCTGATGGCCCTGTTTGGCCCAGAGTCACACCTCAGTGGCAGTCGCAAAGGAGTGGAACGTGACCAAGCGGAGATGGAGCCATGTCATCAGCTCGCGTGCTGATGCCACGGGATCGCCAACAGCGGCAGCGGCGGCTTGTGGAGGCGTTCATCCAGCAGTGACATTGACCCTGACTGATGATGAAGATGGTGCTGATGATAACCTGATGTGCATTTAGCGAGAGTCAAAGGGGGGGGGGGGGGGGGGGGGGGGGAAGACACCAATCTCGAACGCTAAATGCTTTTGAGCAGATAAGATCTACGGTTACACCCCCCCACCTCTCTATCTCTCTCTCCAAGATTCATTCATGATTTATTTACAACTTTACATTGATAAGAAAGCTCACAAATTGTCGATGATAGAGATAAACAGCGGCTGCGTAAAACATTGCTGGGGCAATGGAGGGGTGGGGGGCGTGGGGGGTGGTGGTGGTGGTGTGGGGATGACTATGCCTCTCCCTTCTACGATGCACAGACACAGACACTGGCCCCTCGGTTCATTAAATAATCAAATACGAATTGATTCAGCGCGCTGCAAGCCCGCCACGAAGTGATGAATCGAGCTCGGGTTTCCGATTCACGCAGACACGGGGAGCCAGCTGAATTGCGGCGAGGTCTCTGATGCGAATGGAGGCCTGCGTAACTCCGAATGGGTCACGTTCACCGCCGATGTACCGATATTACCACGCGGTGTGGTAAGCACGCGCGCGCACCAGCGCCCGTACCGATCCACCGCTGGATGAACGGCTCACCACGCCATGTGTGGTGTCGACCGTAGGGTGGATGGTGGAGGGCGGGGGGGAGAGGAGAAAAGGGGGTGGTGTGACCATTCTTCATCACGCTGGCTCTGGTGAAAGGGACTCAGATCGATAGCACTCGCCGCTGATGTTCGCCGGGATTTAAACTTAGGTCAACGCGCCAGGTTCAACGAGCAGTGCGCTAATCGTAATGGCACCGCTTCCCGAATATGCAGCGCCGTATATACGCCGCTCACACAGGCACCAATACACACACACGCACACACGGATGCACACGAATGCATGGATGGCACTCCCACACATATTAACATATACCGTACACATACTCACAAATGCAAAGGTAAAGATAACCCATGTGGTTTACACAGATTGTCGGGGTAATTGCTGCTATGCAAACTCACACTCCCTTCACAAACGCACCACCACCACCACCACCCAGGCAAAGCCAAAGGCGCGGCCCTGAAATGGCACGCTCATGGGACACCTCTCACCACCACTAACAAAGGCATCAAATTACGCTCATTAAACACAAAACGGCTGTTAAAGGGCAGAGGGCAGTCATTGAGAGTCGCAGCAGAAGGGCGCAATTAGCACAAGGCGGATGATGAAGATGATGATAAAGGAAGACCGGGACACGCAAAAAAAAAACGTGACTAGGCAAGCGTTTTCATTCCTCGGCAGCGTTAATGTCTTAGAGGAAACGAAGTAATGGATTCATTATTGCGACGACGACTCGGAGTCGTTTACGGCGCTGCGCCACTTAAACGCTGAGCGATGCCGCCCCAGGGGCTCCGCGTGAGCAGCGGGGAGCGCCTCCTGCACCGCCGCTTCCTTGCGCACAACCACACGAGACCTGTCGGTAGCGGCGGTGTTGGGTGGTGGTGGTGAGTGGTGGTCGTGTTGAGTGGCGGTGGTGTTGAGGATGTGCGGTGGTGGTGGTGGCGGTGGTGTTGGGTGGTGGTGGTGAGTGGTGGTCGTGTTGAGTGGCGGTGGTGGTGGTGTTGAGGATGTGCGGTGGTGGTGTTGGGTGGTGGTGGTGGTGGTGAGTGGTGGTCGTGTTGAGTGGCGGTGGTGGTGGTGGTGTTGAGGATGTGCGGTGGTGGTGGTAGCAGCGGTGTTGGGTGGTGGTGGTGGTGAGTGGTGGTCGTGCTGAGTGGCGGTGGTGGTGTTGAGGATGTGCGGTGGTGGTGGTGGCGGTGGTGTTGAGTGGCGGTGGTGGTGGTGTTGAGGATGTGCGGTGGTGGTGGTGATGTTGGGTGGTGGTGAGTGGTGGTCGTGTTGAGTGGCGGTGGTGGTGTTGAGGATGTGCGGTGGTGGTGGTGGTGGTAGCAGTGGTGTTGGGTGGTGGTGGTGAGTGGTGGTCGTGTTGAGTGGCGGTGGTGGTGTTGAGGATGTGCGGTGGTGGTGGTAGTGGTAGCGGCGGTGTTGGGTGGTGGTGGTCGTGTTGAGTGGAGGTGGTGGTGGTGTTGAGGATGTGCGGTGGTGGTGGTGGTAGTGGTAGCAGTGGTGTTGATTGGTGGTGGTGGTGAGTGGTGTTGAGTGGTGTGGTGGTGTTGAGAGGTCGTGGTATTGATTGGTGGTGGTATTGATTGGTGATTTTGAGGATGTGGTGGTGGTGTTGATTGGTGGTGTTGGTGGTGGTGTTTATTGGTGGTGTTGAGAATGTGTGGTGGTGGTGGTGTTGAGGATGTGGTGGTGGTGAGTGTTGGTGTTGGTAGCGGTGGTATTGGTTAGTGGTGGTGAGTGGTGGTTAGTGGTGGTGAGTGGTGGTGTTGGTGGAGCTGAGGAGTGATACTGGGTGGGTAGAGTCACGTACACAACACAAAACAAAGATCCCCCGTATAGCCTTAGCAGACTATTGGGGCAAGTGCTCATAGCGAGCACCTATGAGGGCCGGAACGGTACACGAGGTGGTGGGTGGCTAGCACCACGCCCGACCGCCTTTGTCTCCCCAGTGGCGATGTTTACACACCGCACCAGGTACTCATTTGAGGCTGCGTAGACCTAGGGGAGGCGCAGAACCGGTTCAGATATTCGTCACCGATGTTGGCCGTGAGCGGGAATCGAACCCGGGTCGCCGGGTTCATAGCGCAGCGCGTTAATCGCTACACAACCGCTCGCCACGTACACACACACTGACACAAAGATAAAGATCCCCCGTATAGCCTAACCAGACTGGAGGGGCAAGTGCTGTTAGCGAGCACCTATAAAGGCCGGTACGGTGCACGAGGGGGTGGTGTAGCCAGTACAAAGATAAAGGTCCCCCGTGTCCCCGCAGTGCCGATCTTCACACACACTGCAGCCGGTGCTCATAATTATTTAAGGCTGAGTCGACCAACACGCGCGCGTGCGTTTTTCTTGCAAGGGGGAGCGGTGGTGTAGCGGTTAGCGCACTGCGCTACGAACCGGGCGATCCCAGCTTCGATTCCCGCTCACGGCCAACACCAGTGACGATTTATCTGAACCGGTCGTGGGCCTCCCCTAGGTCGACTCAGCCTCAAATGAGCAGCTGGTGCGGTGCGTAAAAACATCGCCACGAGGGAGACAAAGACGGCCCGGCGTGGTGTTGTCCAACCACCCACTCGTGTATCGGTGCTCGCTAACAGCACTTTCCCCCAACAGTCTGTTAGAGGCTATACGGGGGATCTGTGTCTTTGTGCCTTGGTGGTGCGTCGCCTGCGCTCCTTGCACGTGGCGTGGAGAGATCGTGTGACCTTAGCGGCGAGAAGCGACACAAAGATCATGCACACAGCGAGAGGGAGGGAGGGAGGGGAGTCAGAGGGCGAGAGAAATGTTGCATGGGGGGGGGGGGGAAAGAAACCGCATAAACATACGCTAACAAGCAGGGCAATATATGTGTACTGAAACACAAGCGCGCTGACGAGCAGAGTGTAAGGACCGCAAGAGGAGGAGGAGGAGGAGGGACAGGAGGGTAGCGAGGATAAAGAAGAATCGGAAAAAAAGGAGTCGGAGGAGGAGGGAATGAGAAAGGATGACGCTGAAGAGGTAGAAGAGGAGACCGGGAGGAGTTGGAGAATACAGAGGAGGCAGAGCCAGGGGGAGGGGAAGGCAGACACAAGGGAGGAGGAGGATGAAGAGGAGCAAGGAGAAGGGGGAGGAGGAGGAGATCAACAACAGCGAGGTGTAACGATTAATCAATCACGCTTGCGCCAATGCCAGAGAAGCCGATTATGGGCACGGCAACGGAGTGTGGAGTCAGGATTGCCATGCCCCGGACTGTGGGCTCATAATATCACGGAGAAGGGGGGGGGGTAGAGTGGGAGGGAGTAGGGTAGGGTGAGGGTGGGGGGCTGCGGAGCGGTGGGGCAAGGAGGGGGGGGGGGAGGAGGTCTGAATCTGCAGCAATCGCTGGGTTTAATCTGCGAGCCGGAGCTCTGTTGGTCGGGCGCTGCTGTGTCGAGCAGCCTCGAGCGCTGTTCTCTCTCTCTCTCTCCAGTCAGGTGCAGCGACTGCATCAGCTAAGAGCGCAGCCACCACCACCACCACGACCACCACCACTTCCTCCTGTTCCTCCTCCTCTGCCGCCGACGCAGCTGCCACTGCTCTTCCGCTGATGCCACTCCGGCCGACGCTGCTTCTGCCGACGACGAAAGAAGAAGGAGGCAGGCGGAGAGACGAGCTGTAGATTCGAGTGCTCGATATCTGCGTGGCGCAAGAGAACGCACCGCTGATCGGTCTTGTGGCCGAGTGCGGCTCTGGCTCGGGGCTGCTCGCTGGGCTGGGCTGGGCTCGGGGAAATGTGACGGAGAAACACAACACGTTGTTGTTGTTGATGGTGGTGGCGGTGTTCTCATCTCCTTTCGCTTGCTTTTTACTTGTTTCGTGAATCTTCCCGTCGCTTGCTAGACACGAGGACTCCTGCGGTAACGCGCGAGGCGAAGTCTGCCGCCCCACGGAACCCCCACCGGGGCGCGATGTGGCTCTTCGTGTGATACTCGAGCCGTGACACAGTCGCGGTTTTCATTTGCTCGGACTTTGTTGACGGCTGCCGGCTCCTGCAGTTACTCCGACGGCGACGGTGATTGATGATGATGATGATGACGACGATACAGCGCCGCTTATTGCTCCAGCATGTGAAGAGTTCACGGGCACAGTTGCCCACCACCACCACCTCCTCCTCCACCTCTTCCTCATCCTCCACCACCGAGCCAACCGGACCGGCACCCGAGCAGGAGGATTGAACGCGCGCAAGTTGAGAGAGGGGCGAACATCTCTCACCATTCCGCTTTGGCAAGAACGTTCACTCAGACGAGGTGGAGCGCGCGGATCGCAGTGCCGGTAGCTCACTCGCTCACGCCCTTAGCGGGCGCTCGTTGGCTTCATTTCATTGTCTCCAAAACCACATCGTCACGCCGTCGTCAGCCTATCTTCGCTGTCATCGCAGCGTCGTTATCATCCCATCCCATCACCACCACCGCTTTCGCCGCCGTCACCGACGTATGCTCTTGGAGCGCGCAGCGGGGAAGGGCTGAGCGTACCACCCAACTACTCCGGGGAAGATCGCAACCCTCCTCAGATGAACAATCAGTCTCGAACCGACCCAACCCGACCCGACCCGGCCAGGACCCGAGCCGGTCCTCATCCCCGGGTGCTTCTCCGCGGGTTCCCTTCGGCTGCCTTGCTGCAACCCACCGCTTCCTCGCCAGTGTTATCCCCCCCCGCCCCCACGCTGACTTGAGATGAGCCGGCTACGCGTGAACGCGATCCTGGGACTCGACGTCAGCGGCAGCGGCGGCGGCGGCAGCAGCAGCAGCACGGCAGGTAATCGAGTTGTGAGCAGTGCTGAGCGCGCTGCGCGAACGTACCTGCAAAATTACCCGAGTTCGATTCCCGCTCACGGCTAATAACGGGCGGAGAATACATTTGAACCGGTCCTGGGCCATCCCGTTGGTCGACCCAGCCTTGGATGAATGCCTGCTGGGGTGTGTGCGTGAAGGTCGGCAATGTGGAGACAAAGGCGGCCGGGCGTGGAGCTGGCCAAACACCACCTCGTGCACTCTTCCGGCCTTCATATGTGCTCGCTAACAGCATTTACCCCAACAGTCTGTTAAAGACTACGCGGGTGATCTTTGCCTTCATCGATTACAATGGAGCGAGCCCTTACCGTGGTGCCGCTTCGCGCACTGCGCTACAAACCCAGCGATCCGAGTTCGATTCCCGGCCACGGCAAAATAACAGCAGGGGTGATTATCTGAACCGGCCATGGATCTCCACTGTAGGTCGACTCAGCCTTCAATGAGGACTGTACCAGGTGCGGTGTGTGAACACAATCGGATCTGCAGAGACAAAGGCGGCCGGGCGTGGTGCTGGCAACACCAACCCCAATTCGTCCTTCGTGTCGGCCTTCATAAGTGCTCGCTACGAGCACTTGCCCCAACAGTCCGTGTCGACTGCACGTGATATCTTGGTCTTTGTAATAATATACTGCTGGATAAATGGCCTCCTCAAGCCCTGGTCAGTTGAACATACTTCACAGCGCTGGTCCGTGCGGGTTGTTGATGACAAGGGGTTATTGGTCACTCGCCACTGATGCCGTGGTCGGGAATCGAACTCTGACGAGCGGCCTCATAGCGCCATGGGCCAACCAGTCCGGTCGCGTTTCCATCGAAGTACAAAAAAGAATATAAAAAACGATGACACCCATGGCAATGATTTACCCAGGGACGTCTCGTTGAGTCTCAGGACTCTGCGTCACGATGTTCCTGCCGCGCCGAGCATGTTTGGCCAATTCTATGAATGAGCGATTGGCTGAACAGAGTTACTGCACGTCACGTGTATGGGAGCTGAACAGAGTTACTGCACGTCACGTGTATGGGAGCTGAACAGAGTTACTGCACGTTACGTGTGGGGGAACTGAACACAGTTACTGCACGACACGTGTCGGGGGGGGGGGGGGGGCTGAACAGAGTTACTGCACGTCACGTGTGGGGGAACTGAACAGAGTTACTGCACGTTACGTGTGGGGAGCTGAACAGAGTTACTGCACGTCACGTGTATGGGAGCTGAACATATTTGCTGCACGTCACGTGTGGGGGGGGGGGGGGGCCTGAACATAGTTGCTGCACGTCACGTGTATGGGAGCTGAACAGAGTTGCTGCACGTCACGTGTGGGAAGCGACGCTCCCCGGTTAGCGCACGGCGCTACAGACCCCCCCCACCCCCGTTCCTGCAGCCAGCGATTTACTTCCCACGGACGGCAAAAGCATCAACGTCGAGTGCTTTCAGAAGCGGTCGTGGGCTTCCCTTAGGTCGACTCAGCCTTTAAATGAGCAGCTGGCGCGGCGTGTAAATCATCAGAGCACCCCCCCCACCCCCAGCACTGCCTCGTCTCGCCCCGCTACGCGCGCAGTGCCCACCTTAATAGGCGATCGCTAACAGCACTTTCCCCAGCGGTCGGTGAAAGGTTATACAATGCAGGTCATTCCGGTGCTTACTCAATAGTCCCGAGACTCTCTCCTCTTTCAGGGCGGGAGGGAGGGACGGGTGTCCTGCAACAACGTTTTGGCCAATTCCATTAACGCGCTTCGGGATTCGCGTTGCTGGGGAATCTGTGGACCGAGGGGAGTGACAGTCAGCACACTGCCATCTCCTGGTCACGTTCAGCCCGGCAGCCACCACTACCTACAGCACCTGGCAAGCGCCTGCGGTGGTCACCCGCTATCCAAAGCCTCTGATTTGTTTGTCCATTCGCAAACGTCCACGCCTTTCGTCAGAACCACGCGGCAGCCCGTCGAGACCACGAATCTCTCTTTGAAAGAGGGAGCCAGCGTGTTGCGATGCAACAACAGCGTGGGCTAATGCGCGGCCCTTCATCAATCCACTGCTGGATGAAGGCCTCTCCACGCCTCTCGGTCATGGAGAGGTTGTTGTTGTTGTAGTCGTTTGACCATACTTCACCGCGCTGGTCAGTGTGCGCCAAGTTCATTTTTCGGATATCGTCTGAAAATTTCGGACGTCATCCGAATAAAATGTTCCCGGCCAAATGGTGTTTCGCGGCCACTGATGTTCGCCGTGGCCTGGTTGGAATACGGAACTCGAGTCGCCGGGGATATATATGTGTATCATAGCCTCAACTCGCTAACCAACTGCACCACTCACCATTCCACCCTTGCACGAGCGCAATGCGGGCGGGGTAGAAATAATGAAACGGAACAATGGAAATTGCACGCAGCGCTGAAATTTGTGTGGTTTTTTTAAAAAACATTTTTAAAGTGCGGTGTCGTGAACGCGCCAGACAAGCCACGGCCACAAGCGACGGGCGGCGTGGGAGGCTTCTGCCACGTCTGACGCCAGGCGAGGTGTTCTTGTTCAAGTCGCTTCGTGGGTGACGCTGCACGTAGCGAGCAAACCAAACAAAAAAGACGAGAGAACGAGCGATATTGACGGACGGGAGGGAATTGTTATTGTATACGTATGATACTTAACGTAACGTAGTCACGGGGATTATGCAAAGCACTTTTTTTTAGTTTTAACCGCCCTTGGTATGTTAAAGCAAACGTTGACGGGGCGAGTTCTTGCAACGTGCGTGCACTTGCCCCAACAGTCCGTTGAGGCTAAACGGGGGGTGGGGGGATCTTTTGTCTTTGTGCAACCAGATCTGCATTGGCTATTGACGCTGGTCGCGAGTTTGGTGGGGTGCGTCTTATGATCCGGAGCGTCTTATGATCCGGAGATTACAGTGTACACGTTCAGGGCATCCCCTAGGTTAACTCAGCCTCAAATGAGTACCTTGTGCGGTGTGGTAAATATCAGCACTGGAGAGACAAAGGCGGCCCGGCGTGGTGTTGTCCACCCAATCCCCCTCGTGTGCCGTGCCGGCCATCGCAAGTGCTGTTCGCTGACAGCACTTGCCCCTGCAGCCTGACAGGGAGGATCTTATCGCTTTGAGACCACACCTGCATGAACCATCGACAACGGGCACGGGTTAACTAGGGTGCGTCTTACTTTCCGGAGGGTCTTATAATCCGGGGAAATCGATGTATGGGTGTGTGTGTATATATATACAGAGAGAGAGAGAGAGCTATACCGAGTCAAAGGCGTATTGCAAGACACGAACCGTGACATTTGTGGAATGGATTTCTGTCTGGCTCAAGGCGTTGTGCCTCTAGACGATACCCCCGCGTGCCTCGAACATCGCGGTACCTGTGAACAGGTTGGGGGGGGGGGTGCCTCGTGGGCTCTCCATCAGCGGGAGGCGAATTACTCGGTTCACCGATGAAGCGGTGGGATCGTAGATTTGTATTTATTGAGAAGTTAAGTGGTGGGACTGGAGGCCTGGGGCAGTTTGGAACTTGGGTGGAGAGCGGGTGCGGGGGTTGGTCAACCCTGCCCTGTGAATGAAACTTGAAATTGACGTGAGTTTGTTTTAATTCGGAGATTGCGGTTTGTTTGACCATACTTCACCGCTCTGGTTAGGGCGGGTTTTTAAAGGAGGACGTACCCAGGGAGGTATCTAAAGCAGAGACTCCGAGTGGGTGAATGTGTTTGCCAAATATCTTTTTTCTAGGCCATCTAAGACATTATTGGAATCCACACCATCCGATCGTCTATCTCTGGATCAGACATCGTTACCATCATCATCGTAATCATCAGCAGCCTTGATAAATCCACTGCTGGATTTTAAAAAAAACAACCTCCTTCCAAGTTGTTTCCGTCTCTCGCGATCCTGCGAGTTGTTTGAAGCACGCACGTCGTTTCACTTCGTTCAAGCCACTCCGCGCATTTACCTGGGCAGAACCAGTGCACACACTCACGTGCCTTGGCTGGGGATAAATAACCACAGTATACATTCCAAGCAGCCGAGATCAAATAATTAATCTCTCTGTTGTTGCTGCAAAACCTGCCTGGCCTGGATATAGCATGGCGCAATGAGAATTGCCGCTGTGCAGTTGAATTTCAAATGGGCATTTCCTATTGCTCAGTGGCAATCGGAAGGGTGCGAGTTCACATCTTAATTCAGGGTGGGTGGGGGTGGAGTTGACTCAGCCGATGGTTGCTCCGGGGGTCGACACAACGAGTATCACCTTGTGCCAAAGTAAACAACGGTTTCCCTATGGCGAGACTCGCCCCCTCCCACTTGCGCCCGCCATAGGAATGTGGAATTTCAACGACTGGTCTATATGAAGCATCGCACCAATGGTCATTTGAATTTTCACTTAACGGCGTTTCGTCAATGAGGGCCATTGCCCGAAACGTCGCTTATTATATAGAAGTTTCCTTTTGAGGCCATGACGCAGTGATATCCACGAACGTGTTGGAGTGTTTGTGTGGTTGTTGTTGTTGTTGTCTATGAATGTTGGTTGTGCTTGTGCACCAGCGCAGCAGTGGCACCACTGTCAATTCGTAATGTTGGCGAGATGCCAACGACCTCTCCTGGTCTACAGGAGGTTGTGGGTTCGATCCCCGACCCTGACGCATGCTGTATATTCGAAGTTTGCATGTGTCTCTCTATGCCCACGGCCGCGTGGATTTTTCTCCGGGTCCGCCGGTTTTTCCCTCAACGCTTAGAATCAACATCACGCGCTCAGAGTATTTGGCTGCTCCACATTCCCACGTGATGACAGTCCCGCTTCGTTGGGCTATCATTTGTGATATCCAGGTAGCTTCTGAAAGAGAGCGGTATAGTTCAGTGGGGCCTTACCTGGTAAAACAAAAAAAAGAGGTTTACGTGTTTTATCAACTAAAGTCCCTCCTTAATAGGTGTTTTTGGGGATAACATTGGTCACGAAAGCCCACGTGTTAAACTCAAGTCACTTCTCTAACACGCACGGAGTGGTGGTGGGGGCTGAGTGACCAGTAGCCTCACCATAAGTTTTGCACATCTATACACACACACAGACACACACACATACACACATACACACACACACACATACCCACACACACACATACCCATACACACACACATACCCATACCCACACACACATACCCACACAAACACATACACACACATACCCATACACACACACACATACCCACACACACACATACCCATACACACAGACACACAATATCTATTTATACCCGTAGCTCCCGTCATCAATACGAACAGATTCAAATTAATGCGGATGGTTGCATCTCACGGGTTGCTAATGTCGGGGCAATGGGGTGGGATGGAAGGGGGCCCTCTGTGAATGAGCGGCGTCACCGCGAGGCCCCACGCGCACGCTCCGTGTCAGCCAGGCGCCGCGTGGACACCCAAATACAAAGAGGCTCGCGCGCCTCGCCTCGATCGCCACGAGCGCCTCGCCTCGATCGCCACGCGCGCCTCGCCTCGATCACCACGCGTGGCGCGCCTCGATCGCCACGCGTGGCGCGCCTCGATCGCCACGCGCGCCTCGCCTCGATCGCCAACGCGCGCCAACGAATTCCGCTCTCGTCCAATGCCCGGCGAAGTTTTGCTCCGAAAGATGAAAGGCAACGGTCACCCCCGGCGTAGTCTCGACAGAATGTTTGGGGTGAGTGCTGTTCGCGAGCACCTACGAAGGCCGGCACGGTGCACGAGTCGGCTGGGTAGGGAGGGGGGGTTCAACAACCACGCCCGGCCGCCTTTGTCTCCGCAGTGGCGATGTTTACTACACACCGCAACGGGTACTCATTTAAGGCTGAGTCGACCTAGGGGATGCCCAGGACCGGTTCAGATTATCGTCACTGGTGTTGGCCGTGAGCGGGTTCGTAGCTCAGCGCGCTAACCGCTACATCACTGCTCTCAACGACCACTGCCACCATCACCACCACCACCATCACCACCACCACCATTACCACCACCACGTAGTATCACCACCACAACCAGCCTCCCCGTCCCCAATGTATGTCGGGCTAAAGTTGACCTCCATTCACCTTCACTCGACCACTCTGGCGGGCCTCTCTGTGCACCCTGAAGAAGAAAGCCCATGAGCCCGAAACGTCGCCTAGTATATATTTATTGTGAGTCCACACAATGCGATTGACGAAACGCGTTGGATTTGCTTTTTTTTTTGCTCGTTTTTGTGTTTTCTCAACACAATTGTCTTCTCTTGTTAACGGTGTGAATGATTCGGCGTGCACGATGACGGATGGTCGATGGTCAAGGATCACGTCGGAGTGGCAGCCACGAGAATTGGAACGCGTCCGACTTGAGGACCCCCACCGGGGAGGAGAGATGGAGCCATGAAATCATCCCAGCTTCGTGTGCAGGAGGCTGCGTGGATTGCTGCGTCGCGTGACCCGGATAGGAGCACGGCGACTGCTTGGAGTGGGCCATCATCCAGCAGTGGATTGATCACGGATAATCCTGATGATGATGATGATGAATTCAACTGGCAGGCCTTCATCCACTGCTGGATAAAATCTCCCCCCCTCCCCGATCCCCACAAGCCTTCGTTATTCTCTCACGATCCCGCCATGCAAACAGCGGACGACCCGTGACCCAACAGCCGCACCGCGACGCGAAACTTCAACCGATTCCGTCGCTCCATCCCTCTCCCTCTCTCTCTCTCGACGGTGGACGCCCTTGGGCACCTCTCGGAGTCGCAACCCGCCTGCCTTCGCCGCGAAGCCCTTCGGGGCTATGTTAGCCACAGAGAGCCGCGCTTGACCCAGGTTTAACTGAACGCGGCGAACTGCGCGATGCTGGACGCTCCCGTGCGGCGCGCTTTGGGACGAGCGCGCAGACGCGCACGGCGGCGCGGGAGCTCCTCCACGCGCCCTCTCTGCGCGCGCGTGCGCGCGCGTTCCTGCAGGCACGGCTGATGCGCAGCCCCGCCGCTCCGCTGATTTGATTATAAATATTAGATGGTGATTTAATGCAGCGATTGGCGGAGAGCCATGCTCGGCTGTGTCCGGCGTAATCAGCGGTGGCCGAAGATGATGAAGCGCTACCGCATTCGCGCTCATCTCACCACAACTCCCGCCGCCCCTCCCGACCCCTTGGTGCCCCCCCCCCCCTTCATCCACCCCCTCCACCCACTCACCCCCCCACCCACCCCCGCCTTCTCTCCCCACCGCCCCCCTCTCCAACTTCAACCTCCCCCCCCCCCCCACCCTCCTCTCTCCCTTGACGCTCACCCGGGCACGCACTTGAAATTAGTCACTGCCTTGTTGTGGTTGTTGTTGTTGACGCAAAGCCAATTCGTCCGTGCAATCCGTCCAAGAGGCGACGTTTCGTGCAACGGTCCTGCCATCAGAACAGACGCCTTTCAGTCAACGGGCGGTTGACCGCTTTTCTTCAGCAGGGAGAACAACACGTCGCCTGTTATACAATGTGAAGTCTCCTCCCGGGTTAGGGTCATCGACAATTGAGTTATTTGTGTGTGTGTGTGTTAATTCCCTGCCGTCGTGTGCGTTGCGCACAACTGGCCAGACGCGGGTTTAGCTTTTGGCAGAGAGCGTGACGTCACACTTGCTTTAATTCACGATTGTCACGGCTGGCTGCGTAAGAAGGTCGACGCACGTGGACATGTGCCCACGTGCGCATTCGCGTTTCGCAAGAACAACTCGCGCTCACGTTGTCGCGCCCATTCAGGAAGGAGACGTCTCGGTGAGCACGCGGCCCTCTCTCTCTGTCTCTCTTTTGTTTTCTCAGCCGACGTGACCCACACTCACTGCAGCTCGTCTCTCTGTGCTTCATTCACAACACAAAACACACAAACAACACAACACAAACAACACACAAATAATACAACTCACACACACACACTAACCAAACATACACGATCAACACAACCCTCACATAACACAACCCTCACACACACACACAACCCTCAAACACACACACAACACACACACGAACAACACAACACACACAAATAACACAACTCACACACACACCAACCACACACACACACGATCAACACAAACCTCACACAACACAACCCTCTCACACACACAACACAACCCACACACAACCCACACACAACACAACACAACCCACACACACACAACCCACACACACACACAAACAACAACCCACACACGCAGGGCTCGGATTCGTCTGCCTGCTGCTGCTCTGGCTGTCTCCCGCGAGCACCAGCGACTGCCCCAAGAACTGCAGCTGCTACATGCTGCCCGTAACCGCGAACTGCCAGTCGCTGGGTTTCGTGAGGATCCCATCGGGGCTGCCCAGGAACAGCCACCGAGTGTTGCTTCAGAACAACCGCATCACGGCGGTCCCTCGCGAGAACGCCCTCAGCCCCGACACCGTGGCGTTGTCGCTATTCTCCAACAACATCACCATCATCCAGCCCGGAGCGTTCGCCGCCTTCTCTCGGCTGGACGAGTTGGACCTCGGAAACAACCGTTACCTGCAGTGGCTGGACGCGGACACGTTCCTCGGACTCGTGAACTTGCACACGCTGCATCTGTACCGATGCGGGCTCCAGGAGCTGCCAGACCGGGTGTTCGCCGGTCTCAGGGGCCTGCAGCATCTGTACCTGCAGCAGAACGAGCTGATGCATCTGCAGGTGATTTGATGACCACGACGGTGGTGATGATGATGATGCACGCACACGGCACGCGCATGGCACGGTATGCCACGTGTCAGTAGTGTTGATGGTGTTGTGGCGAGTGGAGAAAATCGTTGCTCTTGCAATGGAAAACAAAAAAATAAGAGACGCATGGAATTGTTTTAATATTCGGTTCTCAAAATCCTCCTGTGCTCGGAGCACTTAAAGTAATCTGTTTTTTTATTTATAAAAATAGATTTTCCCTTTTATTCTGGCAGCAAAACAGGTGTTAAGATGTTCAAACACCAAACTGAAACCTTTTACAAGGAATCATGTCTGCATTAAACACAATATTTGTGGTCAGAATGCACACAAAAAACACTGATACTATGATGCATTGTCCTTGAAACTGATTGGTCCACACCAGAGACGGCTTTCTTGTGAGCCTCGTCTCAAAACGGTGCTAGACCAGAGGACGTCAAAAGGCGAACAGCACAAAGACAATGCCACTTTCAGAGTAATTGGAGCTCGGGTTGAGCATCTACATCATGGGACCTCCTTTGCCAGTACCAAAATATGAGAATAAGTTTTTCCCCTTTTATCTTGCAACAAAACAGGTGTTAAGATATTAAAACACCAAACTGAAACGTTTTTCAAGGAATCATGTCTGCATTAACCACAATACTTGTGGTCTCATTACTCTGATAGTGGCATTGTCTTTGTGCTGTACGCCTTTTGGCGTCCTTTGGTCTAACACCGTTTTGAGACGAGGCTCAAAAGAAAGCTGTCTCTGGTGTGGACCAATCAGTTTCAAGGACAATGCATATATTATTAGAGTACGTTTTTTGTTTGCATTCTGACCACAAGCACTGTGGTTAATGCAGTAACATGATTACTTGTAAAAGGTTTCAGTTTGGTGTTTTAATATCTTAACACCTTTTGATTTAAAGCTTTCGTGACTGCAGGGATTCATATTCTTGGTTCTTTCGGTAAATTCACGTAGAAGGGAAACAATACAATAATAAAAATGTAAAACAATAAAATTCTCACGACGTTTCGACTGCAACACAAGCAATCATCATCAGGTGTGAAAACCACAGCAAGAAAATTTCTCTCTCTTTCAAATTTTCTTGCTGTGGTTTTCACAGCTGATGATGATTGCTTGTGTTGCAGTCGAAACGTCGTGAGAATTGTATTGTTTTATATTTTTATTATTTTATTGTTTCCCTTCTACGTGACTTTACCGAAAGAACCAAGAATACCTTAACACCTGTTTTGTTGCCAGATTAAAAGGGAAAACCTATTCTTATATTTTAGTACTGGCAGAGGAGGTCCCATGCTGTAGATAATCTGTTTTTGTTCGTTTGTAATGCACTGTTCTGGCGAAATAATTATGACGCCGATGGGGACACACGTAGGAAAGTTGGAGCGATTTTAAATGCACCGTGGTCAGTCTCCTTCCGTGTTCGTTCCTCCCACCTCTTCGGTGCCTCTATCTAATATTATTATTCTACTCGTTACGTCTTCCGAACTCCATCTTCCGCCGTTACAGTTCATCTCAATAATGATTTGTTACACGGAAAACCCCGTGCTGCCAGTCACCCCGGCTAGTTTCTTCGGTGGCAACGGCCTGCAGCAGTCACTGACAAATCGAGTTATTGTCTGGGTGGGGAGGAGCCCAGCCAGCAGCCAGCCAGGAAACTCGAGGCGTAGATTGTTATTGTCGATCTTTTAATGCGCGACGTGAGTACCCGGCTGCGATGTGCAGTTGGGACACGTGAACACGCAGAGTAATGCCGTACAATTTTATTTTCATTAAACGATCAGCTCGCACGTTCTTCGGACGTCACCCCTCCCTCCCTCCCTCCAGTCAGCCAGCCAGCCAGCAAAACTGTCGTCTAATATAGTCGGATAGCGTATCCCGCGCATTTGTTCGAGATACACGGTCGGGGTGGAGAGTGGGGTTTTTGTTAGTGGAGGGGGAGCGTGACGTCATCACGGAGATGTGTACGGTGGCGTCACCACCAAAGATCCCCCGTGTAGCCTTAACAGGCTGTTGGGGCAAGTGCTGTTAGCGAGCACCTATGAAGGCCAGAACGGCACACGAGGGGGTGGGTGGCCAGCACCACGCCCGGCAGCCTTTGTCTCCCCAGCGGCGATGTTTTTACACACCGCACCAGGTACTCATTTGAGGCTGAGTCGACCTCGGGGAGGCGCAGAACCGGTTCAGATATTCGTCACCGATGTTGGCCGTGAGCGGGAATCGAACTCGGGTCGCCAGGTTCGTAGCGCAGCGCGCTAACCGCTACACGACCGCTCCCCACCACCACCACCACGCACGTGCCAGCCAGCCAGGACGCCAGCCAGACAATTTTTGTTCTCTCTCCCACAAAGTATTGCATTTCACCGGGGATTTCGCTGGAGATGGACCGTCGCGTTTGCAACAGCGGCCTGGGCAAGAGGCGGTTTCCAGAAACTTCTCAGTTGCAAGTGGTGGGCGGGGAGGTGGTCCCGAAAAATCATTTTTTTAAAAAAAGATTAGCGCCCTACATTAAAACCAAAACACTCAACGATTTTTTCTCACGCTTCATTACAAACAAAACAACGATGACGTCATCCTGCACGATTTAAGACCGGAAGCAGGTGGATGGCTTCACTATTCTGGCAAATCTCCCGAAGATGCTGGATGTAATTTTCAGCGAAACGTCGTACTCAAATTGTAAATGTTGTGGATCCACTCTTCAACACACCGGTGGGCTAAAGTAGTGAACTGTTTGTCTTTTGTCAACGTGACACAATTTTTACTGATTGGCCGTGTCGGGTGGTGGAGGGTTGCGACACATTTATAAATAACGCGATCTCACCCAAAAAATCTTTATTATGAATAATACTGGTCGCGAAAGCCTACGTGTTCAACTTTCTCACGCTTGTTTGCACGGGAAAATCTCATTGAGTCTTAAGCGAGCCCTCCCATTTTTCTTTCCAGTACGGGGGGCGACGATTGCTTCGATTGCTTTGTACATTCTAAGTGAATACTTTTGGGGGTAATTTTCGTTAAATTTTTATTTGGCAACTTTGGACGAACGACGCCGGCACTGCAGCGGCCTCCCTCGGCTAATACACCCGCAGTATTACCCGGCGCGGCCGCTCGATTCGAACCACGAAACCCCTGCCTGGACCACGTTCTCCGCGGTAATTTGAGGCTCGAATAAAGCACCTGCCCTTAGGCTGCGATGCCTCTCATAGACAGATCCTTTCCATTTGACCATACCCATGCAAATAGCCGAGTTTGAAAAGTTATCGTATTAATTTATTCCCGTGTGACGTCTGTGTGGGAGGGTGGTGAGGATAAGGCGCACAGCCGGTCCATCTGCCGGCCATCTCAGTCCGTCTACCCATGTCACCTGCTGGGTCTCTCCCGTGACCTTCTATCAGCGAGGCCTTCGACACTTCACGTGGCCTCAAAGTGCACCTGGCCTGGCACAGACGTCCGTGCTGACGGGTCCTGTCACCGCCACTTAGTGGGGAATGGCGGGTAGTGGTATCGGTAAGGATAGTAGGTTAGCGAAGTGCGCTGCTGAACCTGGCGACCCGGGTTCAATTCCGGCTCACGGCCACCATCAGTGGCAAATTTCTGAACCTCTGCTTCCCCGAGGTTCAGATATTTGCGTTGGGTGCGTTGTGCAAACATCAGCTCTGGGGAGACAAAGGCGGCCGGGCGGAGTGGTAACACCCCCCCCCCCCCCTACCACCACCCTCTCACGGGTGCTCGTTAATAACACCGGTGACGATTATCTGAACCAGTCCTGGGGTCTCCCCTAGGTCGACTCAGCCTCAAATGAGTACCTGGTGCGATGTGTAAACATCGCCACTAGGGAGACAAAGGCGGCCGAGCGTGGCGTTGGCCACCCACCCCCTTGGTGTGCCGTGCCGGCCCTCCTAGGTGCTCGCTAACAGCACTTGCCCCAACAGTCTGTTCAGGCTAAGGTGTGTGAGGTCACGGATTGGCACGTCAGGTTTGTGCCACTGGAGTGGCCAGGATATGGCAGTACAACAAGTGGGTTTGCCCGTCAGGCCGTGGGCGTGATGAGCTCAAGGGCGCGCCCCTCCAAGCGCGTGCACGTGGGCACGCGTGCACGTGGGCTTTTCTCCGGATTCTCCCCGGCCTGCTGTCAGACAAAAATCCAAAACACTCATTGAGGTCATTGGCCGAACATCGCAATGCAGCAAGACCCTCTTGAAAGGGAGCGCCTTGAGGCCGAGTGAGGCTTTGGTGGGTGAATTAATTGACGTAATTATGAATATTAAAAGGTTAGATAATGTACGAGTTGCTTTTTGGTGGGGTAGGCCTCTCCTGCTACGCTACGGGCCTCGTCTGGAACCATCGTGAAGGGGAACACGTTATATAGTACACAAGCGGGAAGTACCCGGCGTTGCCCGGGCAAAAAAGACACACACACATCGACCCACACACACACATCGACTCACACACACATACAAACTCACACACACATCGACCTACACGCACACACATATGGACTTACACACACACATATTGACTAACACACACACATGGACTTACACACACATAGACCCACACACACACATCGACTTGCACACACACAGCGACTCACACACACACATCAACCTCCACACACATTGACCCACACACAAACACACATCGACTTACAAACACACAGCGACTCACACACACACATGGACTTACACACAACAACAGCCGCCATTTGCCACTAAGTGGCGTTGACGTCATCACGATGCTTGTGCCAGGCTATGTGCACCTTGAGGCCACGTTAAGTGTCGAACGCCCACTGGCAGGAGGTCACGGGGTAGACCCAGGTGCCACGGGTCGACTGACTGAGACGACTGGCTGATGCACCACCTGTGCCACCTACTGTGCCAACTTGCTGTGTTTTATCCGCCTGGCGCTCCGCTCATTGTTGTGAGCGTCGCTCTTCTAACCTCCATTATTGTTGGAGGGCGACTGCCTCCAACTGCCC